ATAGATATGCAAATGTATTATTTAAAACAAAATTAAAGGTGAACTTTATATGGTAACTGTTCTAGTTCCATAAAAAGATTTTAAACAAAAGTTGAGTATATTCTGGTTAGGACTAAATAAAGGAGGTAGGAATCAAGGCTGGTGGTTTGGGTCCTGAGTTATTAGTCGTAGTCCTGACACAATTAGTCGTAGGAGAGTTCCAGGGTGCTCAGAGAATGTGGTCCCTTGTTGCCAGCATCAGAACAAAGCAGGTCCATGTGAATAAGCCCAGGATTTGGGTTAGTGGTCAGAGGACCTGGCATTGGTGGGGCCAAGAGAAGCCAATAAAGGCCATAGGAATCCAGAGGGGTGGTTTTAGGAAGTCAATTGGATTAAGTGCAAGAAATTAAAAAATGCCAGGAAAGAGCTAGCTAATATTAAAGATCAAGGTAGGTGAGTATTACAGAATCAAGATTAGGCAGCAGGAAATAAATCATGCTGAGGAACTGGACAACAAGCAGTCAGTGTCCTAGACCAAAGAGAATGGGCTGCGGGAGTTCGGGAGGAAGGCCAAGGCCCTGGGTGGCAAGCCCAGGGTGCCCTTGGAAGAAGAGGGCTTAATATTCTCCCAACTTCCTTTTGAAACAGGCTCCTAATTTAAATCCTCCCTAAGAGCAAAATGTCACAGTGGATTCCTGGTGGTTTCATCACCCCGATAGTGTGAGGAAAGAAGCAGTAGGAAGAGTCACCATCCTATTCATTATTCTGTCCCCCATGCCGTGCGCTCAATAGGTGCTCAATTAAAGTTTCTCAAGTAATAGAGCAAGTGAGTGAATGAACAAATGCACCAGGGAGCTCCTATACACCGTACAGTGTACTCTGGGCCTAAGTTCTTCAAACTGAAGACACTTTCCATCACAGTAACCAGGTGCTACACCTAGATGCCATTTTTTTTTTCTCTTTCTCCATGAGAGGAAATAGAAGTTATTATGCAGGGTCTACAAGAGGATAGCCCTTTCGTTCCCCAAGCATGGTCCTACTTAAAGGACTAGATGTCACCATCTAGTATGCAGCGTCAGATCTACTAATCAGAGTTCCTCTTCCCAGAGAAAGATGGAAACTTAGCTGTTGGGACATTCCAGGGCAGCCATGTGTAAAGACACCTTCTCCGAAAAACTCTGCCCAACTTCAGCACTTAGATATCAACAAATGATCAGCCTTGGTGCTGGGAATGGGGGAAGACAAAATATACCATGGAGGGTTGGACAGGGCCTCAGAAATGGCCCAGAGAGGTGGCTTCCCCAAGGTCAATGGCAATCTAGACCAGTAACCCGGTCTTTTTGCCTCTGAGCATACTTCAACTCCACATCATCCTCTCTGTTTCTTAGAAGCACTCACAAAAAATAAAGAAAAAGGCTTGATGAGTATTTCATGCCTCCATCATCAAGAGCAGCAGCAGCCAGGGAGAGGAGGTATTGGGTATGGCTGCCACGGACATCTCTAATGCAGATTTTTCACCTATACTTCTACTGGAATAAAAGCTGACAGCCAAAGTAAAGCAGGAAAAAAAGAGAAGAACTCAGGCAGAAGCCACGGATCAGTGTGGCCATGCAAGCTTTGAAGGATTTTTGAATCCTTGTGAGTGACTGAGCACATATTTGCGTTACTTCCTAGTCATGGAGATAATTTTGCCACAACAGCTAGTCTGCACCTGTTGCCCAAGTTCATTGCTTTTCAGGGTTGCCTGATGGCTTCTTACTTCCCTTAGAAGAAAGATACTGGATTTTCTTTCAAGGTCATGGTTAAGAACAGTGATGACAAAGCTCTGGGGATCTCATGAACAAGTCCTGGAATAACAAAGCCATCTTCAATCATTCACAGCCCTGTGTTGCAGCTATGAACACACACTTGTTCTGGGAATAATTCTCCAGAAGGGACCGTCACAAGCCACAGACTCTTGAAGGCAAATGGGACCCTCGTGACCAGCTTGCTGTCAACAACAGCAGCTCTGGGTGGAGAGACAAAGAGAAAAGAATACTTTAGGACATGCACAAAAAAAGGAAGGATTCAGAGATTTCCGTCTTTGGGCTGGCTCATCAGTGAGCCAACTCACTGAAAAAAGACCCTGATTCTGGGAAAACTTGAAGGCAGGAAGAGAAGGGGATGACAGAGGGTGAGATGGGTGGATGGTATCATTGATTCAATGGACATGAGTTTGAGTAAACTACAGGAGATGGTGAAGGACAGGGAAGCTTGGCATGCTGCAGTCCATGGGGTCATGAACAGTCAGACATGACTGAATGAGTGAATAACAATCTTTGGGCTAGAAGCAGAAAGTGACTAAAACCCAATATTTTAATACTGGGTATGCAGTATTGTAACAATATTCATGCTATAAAAGAGTTACAACACTCCAGCAAAACCACAGGCTGGACATCTAGGAGAAAAATACCTACTCAGATATTATGTCAACATAACGAGAGAATAAAGATTTGCCTCCTTATATTGTCAAAGGAATATAGAATCCACCCTATGAAAGACTTTTTTCAAGCAGAGTCTAGAATGAGTGCTTACTGGGTTCCTCTACTGTGCTGTGGGTGGCCACGCCAGAGGGCTTTGAGAAAGCTGTCAGGGCAAAAACAGCATAAAGTTGACACACTCTGTGGATGCCAACAGCCGTCAGAAAGCAGAAAGGCAATGGGGATAAAAATGCTCAGTGGTGGGCATACAGCCAGATGGACTGCAGTTTCTGAGGTAGGTGTGGTAGCGGGAGGAAAACTCAAGATGTTTCTGGTCCATTTTCCTCACCCCTAGGACACTAGGGCAGAGATGAGATCCCAGAACTAAAGCCTGACTTCCGAAGGGCCTAAAAGGTTAAGCTGTAGAGATTTGAGAATGAAAACTCTGCTTTTCAAAGGAATTACCAGAATGTTACGAAGAAAGTGAAAGCGAAAATCACTCAGTCTTATCCGACTCTTTGCGACCCCATGGACTATACAGTCCATTGAATTCTCCAGGCCAGCATACTGGAGTGGGTAGCCTTTCCCTTCTCCAGGGCATCTTCCCAACTCAGGGATTGAACCCAGGTCTCCCACATTGCAAGTGGATTCTTTACCAGCTGAGCCACCAGGGAAGCCCAGGAATACTGGAGTGGGTAGCCTCTCCTTTCTCCAGCAGATGTTCCCGACTCAGGAATTGAACCGGGGTCTCCTGCATTGCAGGCAGATTCTTTACCAACTGAGCTATCAGGGAAGCTCTGTTATGGAGAAGGAAATGACAACCCATTCCAGGATTCTTGCCTGGAAAATCCCATGGACAGAAGAGCCTGTGGGCTACAGCCCAAAGGGTCATAAAGAGTTGGACACAAATGGGAGACTAAGCACGCATACCGTAATGTTAAGAGCATATCTTGAGTGAGGCCACAAAAAAGAAATAAAACAGGATAAATAAAGGAATGCAATTTTAAGTCTGACTTCTACTAATCCAAGTAAATAAGGTCACATCTAAATAATGAAAATTATTTACATAACACCTTTGTAAAGACTGAATAAATATTAGCTATCACAGGACACTTGACCATACACTTAAGATAGATGGGTTGTCATTCACATCCTTACTAAAATGCAAAAGCTGTTTCATGCATAACAAAGCTATCAAATAGTAGACATGAAATATAATCCTGCAACCATAATGTAAAAGGGCAGGACAAACATTTCACTTTACAATTTTACCTTACTGATTCAATAGTCAAAGATCAAAAAACGAGGATGGAAGTTAAATCTGGGTTATCCACTCTTATGTGCACTAGGGAACAACAGGTCACTTAATGAATAATCTCTTGGGCATACTTAGTCACTTCATCCTGGGTGTTAAGTGTGTCTAGAAGGGAGGTGCCCCAGGATCCGACTTCTGCCCTGGGCATCACCCCAGCCCCAGCACAGGGGTACTGTCCCCTCTCTACCTGGGTGGAGCATACTGGCCTCCCTACTCCCAGCACCTACTTTCCTTGGAATCCAGAGAATCAACCACTGGACCCCTGACCTCCCCAGAGTAGCCTCAAGCAATGATTAATGAGAGCTGTTATGTACTGTCTCAACTCCATCACTCCTACGCTGGGAAAATTCTGAAGTACAACTTCTATACTGGCTCCCATATAATGTAACTGGCTTAATGATACTCCCTTTCCTGTCTGGTTATTTCTGGGGAGGAGCCAGGGTGATGAGCTCTCCAACCCCAAAGATTATTAGCAGCCTGAAGCTGTTAAAGGAAGAAATCTCAAAAAGATAATCATGGGGAAGGAAGGGTGGGGTGTGGGTGAGGAGCACATGTTAGCTGGGAGAAGCCACCTGGAGATACTTAAGGCACCACTGGGAGGGACCCTCTTATGGGGAGGGGTTGGGAATAAGAGCAAATTGAAGTAACCCTGCCTTGCTTCTCCTCTGGTCGTAAAGCTACATCCTGATTCTTCTGCCTTTAAACCCACTGCTGGCTTCTCTGCCCTCAGTTATGGAACCTGTCCCATGTCTGCATCCTCCTCCACCAGCTTCTCATCCCTTCTCTCCCTCAGGCCTTGGTCCACTGGCCCTCGGCCCTGGAATAAAGCTACATCCTGATTCTTCTGCCTTTAAACCCACTGCTGGCTTCTCTGCCCTCAGTTATGGAACCTGTCCCATGTCTGCATCCTCCTCCACCAGCTTCTCATCCCTTCTCTCCCTCAGGTCTTGGTCCACTGGCCCTCGGCCCTGGAGCCTCTCCCAGGGATCACACTACTAAACCTGGTCCTGTGGGCAGCCACTCAGCCATCTTGGATCCCTGGTGCCATGTAATGCTTCCTGTAGTCGCTTAGCAACCAATCCCTTTTCTACAACTGCCAAGGAGTCTTTGTAGCCAAAGCTATATCTATTTTGAATTCTGTGAAAGTTAACAATCTGCTTAAAAAGTTACAATCTGCTAAAAAAAAATAGCACTCCATCTTGACCTTCATCCTCAGTCCCCTGCCACTGCAATTATTTGTTTATTACCAGATCCTTCTTTCTGCTTAAACATCTTCTTCACAGTCTGGCAGGCTGAGCCATCCCCAAGGCACACACCACAGCGGTCCTCCGTGGCGTTGGAGTCGATCTCATAATCGCAGCCGACCATCTGCAGGGAAGAGAGGTTAAGGATGAGGGACACGGGCAGGAGATGCCACACCTGCCCTGGACCTCAGGCTCTTCTTCCCCCTTTACTCTGGACGAGATCAGGGCTGAAGGCCGGTACATGTGTTTTACACTTGTGTTACATGCAAAAATGTACACATTAGTCATTGTTCCTATATCAGGTATTGACTATGGAGTTGGTGGCCAAGATAAATTCTTGGTGTCCAAGAAACAACTGGAAAGGGCCCTAAAACACTAACTCCTGTGGATTAGAACACAGAAATACTGAACACTGACTTGTACACGGCAGGTGGTGGTGGTGGTTTAGGCTCTGAGTCATGTCCGACTCCTGCAAGCCCAAGGATTGTAACCTACCAGGCTCCTCTGTCCATGGGATTCTCTAGGCAGGAATACTGGAGTGGGTTGCCATTTCCTTCTCCAGTACATGGCAGGGCTGTTCATCGCAGCACTGATGTAAAGTAATTAGCCTCCAACTAATAAAAATAAATGGAAAAAAAAGAATAAAGAATAGAAATGGAGTCTATAAAGAAACATTTCCTTTTCCTGGTGGCGACCAGAGCAATACTCAAAGCATTCACTGATGATAAAGGAAATACTGCTCAGAGAGAAATAAGGTATACATTGAATGGGTCTGCAGTTTCCCCTGAGTGAGAAGCAGAATTAAAAACAGTTTCAAAAACAAAACAGTGAAAAACATCTTAGAATCAAGAGTCATTGGAGCAGCAAACCTCTTTCAGATGTGCAAACCTCACGCCCTCTCCTCTCTAACGAGATTCCCAGGGATGATGCAATGGCTATAGTCATTGTCACCTATAGTCGGTCGTTCACTCCCTTTACTTTCCTGGTTTCATGCTGAGACCACTCCAGTCCCACACAGGATGAGATCTCAGACGTGCAGACCCACCTCAGACTCTTGGGAGCCTCCTATGATCCCAGCCCCTGCCACACGTCACACTCATCGTGTCCCAGCCATCCTGACCTCCTTCTGGAGCTCCACGGGAGAAACGGGTTGTGTCTCCCTTGAGCCAGGACTAATCCTGCTCATGTGCCTGGACCCGATCCCTTCTCAGTGTTCTGTCCATCGGTCCTTCTCAGCCATCACCCTTCCTCCTCCACTGGTTCCTTCTCCTCTGCTTACTGCCGGGAGCCAACACACGAGACCCTACCCATGACAAGGTCATGAGGGAGAAAACCTGACAGGCGAGGCGGATCAGGTTTTCAGGGGTTTCGAAAAGCCCAGCTCATGAGATCCCACCCATGACAAGGTCACGAGGAGAAAGCCTGACAGGCAAGGCAGATCAGGTTTTCAGGGATTCTGAAAAGCTGCCCCTGGTGCTCACCTTAAAGATGATATCTGTTGTTCTGATGCCTGCCTCAATAGACTACTCCCTAATTTCTGTGACACAGGCAGAAGGCCTTCCCCGATCTCTTCCCAAATAAGAATCAACTTAGAACTTTAATCAATAAGTTTCCCAGGTGGTGGTATTTTATGAGATTATCCAGGGTGAAAGGAGTGTTTTAATTTAAACTCCTTTGCTGGTAGTTTGTTAGCCAAATGCATTTATGCCCTTGGTACTAATATGCATGACTGCTCATAATATCCTAATCATAAAATAGCATAAAGAACCTGATTATATAAAAGCCCTAATAGACATAGAGCCTTTTTGAGGGGTGAAGGAGTCCTATTAGAAAACATAAGAAAAATTATTCTAAAAGTGGTTATTGGGTTAACATTTGCTTGCTGTTTTTACTCTTAATGTGCTAAGGTTGTGTTATGGAAACCATTGTTAATATAGTTAAAGATCTAGAAAAATAAGAGCTTAGCCCTAGTGTGGTAACAATGAGATGGTTGTTAATTGTCAGCCAGGAGTGCTAGGTAAAAGCTGCCTCACCAAAGTCGCAGAGTCAATGTGGAATAAACTTCTTAGATAAACTCAACTGATAACTTCTGCAGAAGGATTAATTTTTATGTTAACAAGGTTATACTTCTACTCTGTACTGTTGCCCTATGAGACTGCTACCTTTCAGCTAAGGTCACCATAGAAACAGAAAATAGGTTTACATTCACCTGACTCGCCTAAAATGTTAATAGGCCCCAAGGCCAGAAGATAATGTACAAGACCCTCATAAACAAAGAAGTATGCAGAAAACACCCTGGTTTCATGAAGAACAAGCTGATGTAATGGTAAACTATCTTCCCCTTAGAAATGCACTAATTTAGGGTATAAAAGCTACGGTAAAAAAATAAAGCATTGCCAGACCCTGCCAGACTCAGCTGCATCCCCCCTCTCATCTCTCTCTCTCTCTCTCTCTCTCGCAGACTTGGCCCTATCAAGGCTGGTCTCACGTGTCCTCTCTCTTTCATCCTGAGGGTACCCCCTGGATCCTGCTGAGGCTGGACCCCGGCAGCTTACCAGTACAGCCACGTCTTTCCCATCCAATTCCCATACTGGAAAAGGAGAGTAATTAAACTTGGGGTGTTTGGCGGCATCAGATACCAAGAATGATAACATTTGGATGGAAAGTTATGAAACACGTGAGTGTCCGCTGAAGTCCTTTGCTGCTGGCTCTTTTCTATGGCTTATATTACTTAACCACATTTCAATGATAGAAAGAGGGAAAACCACACCTTATTCTCTTAGTGGGATTTTTCTTTTCTGTTTGGGAAGAAGAATTGTGCTAAAGTAGTTTTTTTCTCTCTCTCAAATATAAGTTCCTTTCTTATTTTAAAGCCACCTCGAATCGACTGAAAGGAATGACCATTTAGGTCTTAAAATACACTCTCCCTCCACTAGCTAAATAGAGAATGAATGCCCACAGATAGAAGATAGCACCATTCCTCAGCTTAACCATCTCTGACTTTCTTTATGTTTGAAGATTGTGCCACTTGACCCAATTGGGAAAAACAAAATGCTAAGAGATTTAAAAAACTAAATTATGCTAATCACGATGGAAAGGAAAGAAACAGTCTGGATATGTGCCTTCAGTGGCCATAGGTAAAATGCCAGCCCTTCACAATGATGTATTTACGTCAAGCTTGGTCATCCTCTAATAAGCTAAACTTTACACATCCTATTCCCAGGGACTTCATTTCTTCACTGATTTGGAACAAGCCAGGGAAACATACTTTGCAACATGATAGAGTGTTGTTAAAAATTTCTACCAAGAGGGGATGGATAAATGTGAAGAGGGACTTCCCTGGTGGTCCAGTGATTAAGACTCCGAGTTTCCACTGTAGGGGCCATGGGTTAAATCCTTGGTTGGGGAACTAAGACCCTGCAAGCAGCATGGAGTGCCAAAAAATAGTGGAAAAACATGAAGAGAAAGGAAAGAAGTTCAGAAAAACAAACACCTCGAGTGCATCTTTCTCCTCCAGCAATATCTGCCTGCATCCCTCGGGGGGCAGGGGTGGGGAAGGAAACACCCCCATCAGATGCTGACCCGGTGCTCGTGGAGACTTCACCCTCGGCTCCTCCAGCAGCTGCGCACAGCGCAGTCAACACTGAACTGAGCACAGAACCGGAGGCTTGCAAGGCGGAAGCCCGTCCTCCTGACTACACAGAACCAGTGAGGCTCTCAGGGGAAAACGAACAGACGTGCCTCTCTTCCGTGCCCTGTGATCTGGCAACAGGGCTACGATAGATAACACTGTCTTTCTGCCTTCAGCAGATCAGAGAGGACTTTGCTGATGCTACCAATGTAACAAGGACTCCAGGAAGGCTCTCCTCCCTGTGACTCTCAGGAGGGCAGACAGCCACCCCACAGGCTGCGTTTCTTTACAAAAGGAAATCACTCTAATTTCCCATCATTATTTCTTTAAAAAAAAAGACAAACAGCTTTCTTGGCGATGCGGCTGATATATAAAATACTATACATATTTAATTTTATAATTTGATGAGTCTGGACTCATACGAACACCTGTGAAACCATCGCCACAATCAAGGCAATAGACATATCCATCAGCTCCAAAAGTTTCCTTGTGTCCCTTCTGTGTGTGTGTGTGTGGTAAGAACACTTAACATGAGATCTACCCATTTCACAATTTTTAAGGGAACAATACAGTGTTGTTAACCACAGGCAATGCGTTGTATAGCAAAGCTCGAGCCACACTCATCTTGCGTAAGTGAAACTTTATACTTGTTGAGCAGCAACTCTTCTTTGTTCCCTCAGCAACCACTGTTCTCTTCTCTGCCTCAGTGAGTTTGACTATTTTAGGCTCTCCTATATGTGGAATCCTGTAGCATTTGTCCTTTTGCGATTGACCTGTTTCACTTAGCATAATTGTTCCTAGGTGCATTCATATTGCCAAAATGACAGAATTCACTTCTTTTTTAAAGTTGAACAATATTCTGTGATATGCATATACCACATTTTCTTTATCCATTCATTTATTGATGAACATCTGGGTTGTTTCCATCCATATATCTTGACTAGTGTGAATAATGTCACTATGAGCTTGGGAGTACAAATGTCATTTCAATATCCTCATTTTATTCTTTTGGATATATACCTGGAATTGGAATTGCTAGGTCTGCGTGCTGTGATTCATGGGGTTGCAAAGAGTCGGACATGACTGAGTGACTGAACTGAACTGAATGGTAAAAATTAAATTTTAATCAAAAATTAAATATTTAAATTTAATTAAAGTCAAACATATATTTAAGTATTTTAACTTAATCAAAATCAAATATTTAAATTTAATTAAAATGAAATATTGTAATTTAATTAAAACCAAATATTTTAATTTAATTAAAACTAAATTATTTTTAATTTTTTGAGGAACTTCCATACAGTTTTCCATAGTGGCTGCATCACTGTACATTCCCACCAACAGTGCACAGGATTCCAATTTCTCCACATCCACACCAATACTCACTATCTTATGTGTGTTGGTAACAGGCATCCTAAATGTTGTGAGGTGATATCTTATGAGTTTCATTTGTATTTCTCTATGTTTAATGATGTTGAGCACCTTTTCATGTA